CAATCCAGGAAGCAAGAAGCGAACGTTAAAGGTTATGTGCGCAACAAACGCGTAGAAGGAGAAGAGCGACCGACGGTATAAATATCGTTGCCCGGATGGCAACGGGGTCTTTTGTTCCGGTTCCGTTCGCGTGTAAACTCCGCGTAATAAAAGTCCCGCAAAGTATTGCGTAATCCATTGCAAAGTGTCCGTTATTCAGCGAGCGTTGTAAACACCGACGAGGAAATTATCTCGATCGGACGTCGCGAGTACGGATATACGATTTCGAAACGGATCTAGCGCGAGTTTGTCGCGCATTTATACGACGTTTTCTTGAAACCTTATACGCGATTCCGGTTATCATTCATGCGTTATAGCGCTGTGTCGGTCGTAGCAGGGCCGAGTCGTTTCCGCGGCGCATTTAGTGACGCGAACCGTATTGTGTTTAACGCGTATCCCCGATCGCTGGGATTCCCGGCGAAAAGCGAGATTGCGTAATTCGCGAAGCGCGAGCGATCGTGTGCGCGGACCTTCTATTGTGAGTGCGTGGAAGCGTGTGTGTGAGCGTTTGAATTATTGAAAATAAACATTATAAACATCTAATTGAACAAAGTCGAATTATTTTGCGGACCTCACAAAAGTCGCGTGCGCTCACATTCCTCATAACTCATAAAACGAGAATATCGTCAACTGCCGCCAACCAGAAGGAAGGACGAGGATTCGGTAAACCTGGGCGGCTGATCAGAGGAAAACTACTTTCCCTGTTGGGAGTTAAACAGGGTGGCGACCGCAGTAAGTCTAACATTTACCTAAGACGAGAAGGGTAAGGCTCATTGTCGTTGTACGAACGTACTTAGGTCAGTCTCGTACTAGATAGAATATCTAAAGTAAAATTGGCACTTAGAGTCGGCATATCAAGAACCGTGCGGGCGTACGATAAGTGCGCTGACGAAAGGGGTCTTCGGGGAAAAAGGTCCGATGGTCATATCAAGAGGGATTATCATATTGTCGATTTCATAGAAACGGGCACTGATTCCGGTTACAAGAGAAGCGCGACCACAGTATAACCACAGTATAACCAGTAGGTCCACTCAGCGAAAAACTGAGTCTTCGCGCAGGTATCGCCGCGCAACTTTTGTTTTGGGTTGGATCCAATGAAATGCAAGACGATAGGAACGTACAATACATATGTGCAGACAATTTATAAGCAATTACATCAGAAATTTTCTTTAGTGATCACTCTTACGAATAATTGTTACTAATAAAACGTTTTATTCAGATCGGAAGAGCACACGTCTGAACTCCAGTCA